TGGATTCGATTTTGTAAGAAGCACAAACGATCTCGTGGATGTTCTGGTGACGGCGGACAAAATCGAAGAGTTCAAACAACTCCTTGAGGAACACCGTATGAATTACACGGTTATGATCGAAGACGTTCACCAACTTGTTACAGAGCAGTACATCGAACAGCAAGTGGAGCGTAGATTGCAAGCTAGATCTCAGGACTATGCTTCTGGAAGATTATCCTTCACTTACTACCCTAACTACACGGAAGTAAGTAAAGTCAAAAATTTCAAAGATTACAAAAAAAGAGCAGAATTCGTGTGCACACGCAAGATATCGCATGAGTTACAAATATATTACTTTGTAATAAGTGATAAGTAGACGACAACGAAAACTTGTCGACAATTTAAACTGGCGACATTTTGGAAAAAAGGATCACATCATTGGTCTCATTTTAAAGCGTGAAGCTTCTACTTTGACAGTCGTAAGATCGTTCATCGAAAATAACTAACTTAGTATCGTGTAGCGGGCGATGAGGTGAGAATATCCTGACTTTTCTCCTCACTGGATGGCGCAAAACAATTTTCGAAAAAAACAAACTCAAAACTGTCAAAATAGAAGCTTCAGGCTTTGAAATAAATATTTCCCTCTCGAAGTAGTATCGATTTAAATTATTAACAATGTTTCGATGTCAATGGTACAGTCACGGTAATAATAAAAATGAACTTAACGCGTTCACAGGTAAACGAGTACCTAACCTATCTGACACAGACCTACAAGAACATAGCCTCGTTAATTACCATAGGTAATTCTTACGAAAAAAGATCGATGAAAGTTTTGAAGTTGTCGACTGGTGGCGCGAACAAGCCGGCTATTTTCATCGATGCTGGAATTCACGCCAGAGAATGGATCGCCCCAGCGACAGCTCTCTACATGGTAGATTTAATGCTGCAAAACCACAGAGATCTCCTGACCAAGGTTGATTGGTACGTCCTGCCAGTTTTGAATCCAGATGGTTACGAATACACGCACAGCTCGTCAGCGGTAAGTTAATACCGCTGCATATCGTATAAATTACTTTGTTCGTTGCAAAATGCTCTAAACGATGTAATACGCTCGACAGAACCGATTATGGAGGAAAACAAGATCGAACACGGGCTCGACTTGCAGGGGTGTCGATGGAAACCGAAACTACGACATGCAGTGGATGAGTAAGTTTCCATTTTCCATTTATGATCCAATTAAATAATCATATCTGAAGCAAACGTGTTGCAAAGTGTCACGTTCGATGAAGAATCTGATGGCGAGTAATAATTTAATCAATCTCCGTGTCGGTCGATTAAAACTCTGGTCTCTTTTCAATTAACATTTCAACGATATTGATGTTGCGGCTCGCGTAAAAACAAACAGCCGTGATCGTGGATAACTTATCATCTGCATCGATCAGGCGTTACGTTCGATCGAGACAAAATCGCGATAAAGGAAGAGCGTAATGCAATGAATGATTTCTATTCGTCAACTCGTTCAAAATAAATTGGCCACGATTTCAATGAACATGTCTGTGTGAATCAAAATCGGAAAGTTCCGTCACGGATTAATTAACGGGACGTTATTGAAAAGGGACGGTGCAGAGGAATGACTATCTTGCAAGTAATTTCGCGAAAATGGAAGTTCATGCTGTTAACTGTCACGTTTCTCTCTTTACGTTGTGTACCTACCGCGGGAAGTGTAGTGTGTCACGGTTAACTCGACCATTGCTCTTTCTCTCTCTCTCTCTCTCTCTCTCTAACTTTTCTTTGGAGAGCAATTGTCTGCCGTTCCCGGCCAAGTTATGATTGAGCGCGATAAAAACTTGCTCGTTACCGCACGCTCGTTATTTCTCTAGCTCTCTTCATCTGATAAGCTGACTTTTGAGGACTTTGTGAGCTACTCCGTGACGCAATTCGGACGTCGTCGTCGTCGTCTCGATCGTGGGTCTCATTGCGCTAACAATGTCGCTTCTTCATTCGCCATTTGTCGAAACGACGATTTTCCAATATCGATCTTGCATCAGATTCAGCAAACAGGCAAAGACAATTTTGCGTGCATGGTATAGAGCTGTTGGAAACGTTTTTTGTTCAATTTGGAATCTGGTTGTTTTATTTGGAATTTTGGTCCAGACAATCATTTTGATGGACCTTTATAGAGGAGTTATTCGTGCTGAGAACAGAAAAAGTTAGAGAACTTCTGTTTTTCTTATTTTTTTTTTTTTTTTTTCACTGGGAAAATTTAATTTCTCAATACTACAGTGTTTCTGAGTTTTATGCTGTTAATTGAAGGAATTTGCAAGATCGAGAAGTTATTTTGAGAGGACACATTTCTGTAATTTTTCTCGCTTGCTGAATTTCTAGGTAGTTGAATTCGGGAAATACGAGGCAAGAGAGGTCATGCTGCGACTCCCTAAATTGAGGTGCCTCTAATTTGTCCGGCTATTTGAAAGCTGCCCCCTTGCGGAAAATTCGCGGCAGCACTATCTCGTATTAAGCGGCCGCGTTCTGGAAATTCTACCTTCATCATTCAATTTTCATTTGCCTCGTTTCTCACCTGTCGCCTCTCAACTTCAGTTTCCCCTGTTCCGTAACGTCAGTTATTCCTATTGATTGAAACTCGTAATTCGTAGCAATTGGCGCGTCCAGCGACCCGTGCAGCGACACTTACGCCGGGCCTAAACCGTTCTCCGAAGTGGAGAACCAACACTTGAGGGATTTCATTTTGACACGGAAGGGACAGATCAAGGCCTACCTTACGTTCCATTCCTACGGCCAGGTAACCGATCAAATTTCAATTTAAAGGGATCAAGCTTTAATCCTAATTTAATTTTTTTCTGAACGCTCCGAACAAATTGGAAAACGGAACACTTTTTAATCCTGCTTGCTTGCTGGTCACGTATTTGTATTCCATAAACTTTTATAAAGTACAATCGAAAAATTACTCTCGTCGTACGCAGAATACAACGGAACGTTGAACGCCGGGAATTGTCGTTTTTTTTTTCCCCATTCGCAAACGCGATTTATCAAAGCAATAATGTACGAAAGTATGCGATTTTTGCAGTACATCTTGTACCCCTGGGGCTGGACATCCAACGTGCCCGCTAACGAACCAGAGCTGGTTAGTAAATTGCTGATGAACATTATCGCCTCTGCGATAATGCATTTTGTTACAAACAATATCTTCACTTTGCTTTCTCTTCTTTTTCAGCGTAATCTTGCTATCCAATGTGCACAAGCTATTGCCAAGTCTCGCAGAACTCGATACACTTATGGAACATCATATAATGCGCTGTGTAAGTGATTTGCAGAATAATCTATCAACTTTTATCAAATTTCTATCATCGAAACACTCGCTACTTGCTTTGTTTTTTCAATCTTGTCTTCACCAGTTTATATATATGTATTAAAATTATTAGATCCAAACTCTGGCCCAAGCGACGACTGGGCTATGGACAAAGCGGGCATCAAATTGTCATTTACCTACGAATTGCCCGGTGGCAATTATGGAGACTTGTTACCAGCGTCTGAGATCAAACCCGTTGGTATCGAGACGTTCGAGGCTCTCAAAGTGACCCACCAATACGTCACGTCGAAATACGCTTCGCACTAGGAGGAATGTGACTAGAGGCTTGTTGTAAAGGTTGCCATTTATTTTTCGTATCACGAAACAGCAGTGAAGGTCTCAAAATAAATTTTACGTGAAACTGTTTTCGTGCGTCCTATATTTCATTCATCGACGCGAATAAATTGCGTCAAATTGTTTTGCCACGTATTTCCATCTTTCATCGGCGAGCAAATTAGTCGAATCTGCGAACCATGGTTTCAAGAGAGCCTTGAAAATGTCCCGTGGCAAGAAAAGTACGAAAGCACAACGCGTTGTTGGGTCCTCGTTGACCCAGAAAGCCGTCGACCAGAGCCTGGATCGCGACGAAAGGAAAAAACAGTCGAAAGGTGAAGGGACGTACCGCTGGTACGTACGTTTGACGTTTTTACGTTTAAAGATGAAAAGTCCACCGCTAAATAAATGAGAAAACCGCCGCCATTGCGTTCACGCTGCTGCCTCCTCTCATCCGTGAAACGTAATAGCCATTGTTCGGTGCTGTGCGCGCAACCCCTTTTGCACGCGACGACCACTTTTAGTTTTTTCCCGCGTTTTTAGGCGGCCACCGCGCGAAAGCGAGAGTGCCTGGGGAAACGGGAAATGAGACGAGTGCCTGGAGGATTTGGTCGGGCTGAAGTGGAACACTTAGCACGCAGAGCCAGCGGTAGAGAGAGTATCGTGCCCAAGCTCCTTTTCCGCTCGCTCCTTTCGCTCCTCCTGGCCGTGCCTCCCTCCCCCTTCCCCTCCCCCTCCCACGGCCGCGTTCTGTCTAATTGGAGAAACAACAGACTCATTATCCGTCAGCTCGAGCGCAGACGAGAGCTCATTTCGCCGGGGACTGAGGCCACCGGGTCGTAAAATTTTTGTATAACGAGCCACTACCCGCTGCTCGCCGTTCCTTCGGATCGCTCGCGTAAAGGTGACAGAAGGGCTGGTCCGCCGTTGGCCATGCGGGAAAACATTGACTTGACGTCGTGTCTACTCGACTACTACGGCTCCGGGCGTAATTGGCACGGTTTAAGTCGGACACTGCTTCGCGAAAGTCATTCTTCTTCTTCTGTTTCTTCATGCTTCTCGCTTTTTCTCGCGTTCATAATGGAACGTCTTAACTCTCGGCCATTATCTACTTAACGTACGGGCATTTCTTTCGTGATCGTGACACGTGGGATGATGTGAGTCATTCGTGGGTTAAGCGATGTCCTCCGATCGAGCGGGAGGATTTTCATCTTTATTTCCACTGGCTGGCTGACTCGCGAGGCGGCGTTGAAACTGAGTTTCTAGAAATTCAGGAAGAACGAATCGGGATTATTTCGATGATCTTATGATTTTATTTGATTTTTCCAGTTTCATACAGAAAGAGTCAAAAAATCATCGTTTCAATCAATCACCGAGCCCATTAAAAGACTTAACGTATTTTTTTATTCAGATGATAATGATTCATAAAACATTGTTTTTATATATATATATGTATATGCACATGCGTTATATACATGTACGTGTTTCACGCGTATACACGCACACACACATGTGAATATATAGTATGTACATATACACGTACGTGTGTGTAATTTTTTATAGGACTATGAACAAATAACTCTCGTTTCTAGGATCTAGTCGTAACTTAACATAGATAAATGTATCCCTCAATTTTTTTTTTTTTTTGTTTTGTTTTCTTTTTTCTTTATGCTCTTACGAAGAAAGAACGCAGGAAGAAAAGCGGCCGAGGTTCTTGAGTTCCTTTATGAGAACACCTCGATCGACGTTATGATTTTCGTCCAAATCTTTTCCATTTCTCATCAGCCGATGACGATTCTTCTCTCTGACTCATTCTTTCAATCTTTCACTTTCTCACTCTCTCATTCTCTCTCTATCATTCTCTCCCCCTTTCTCTCTCTCTCTCTCTCTCTCTCTCTCTTTCTTGTTATTTTTTTTTTTTTCGTTTTACGGATATACTCGGTGAATACGGATAAACTATATAGATCACTCTTTAGTAAATGATTAAGGTAGCTTAACTCTACACATCGCTAAGGGTACGATAACGCGTTTCCTCGTCAAGTAAGAATCCAGCTTGTCATCTTGTCACGATCAGTGCTTCCTTCCGTGATTCCCAATGCAAAATACTCGCGACACGCTGTATGATACGAACAATGTATGTTTGAATCACGAGATATTGGTCTCTTACGCGTATCACTGGAACGTGACATTTACCAGGATTTATATAGTCGGCCTCGATGATACTTAACACGTGGTCTCGTCTACATGAGAAAATCGCGAAACAAAGATTCTTCGATCTGTCAATCTCTTCTGAAGTTATCAACAACGTAAACGAGGCAATAGTTTTCGAAGTTGATCCATCTGTCCGAGATTGCAAAGACGATAAGGAACCAAAGACATCTTGTCAGATGGGTACAAAGTAAAGAGAACGATTAAAAGTTGTTCCAATGTTTCGTGATTTTCTCACGTCGAACGACTCCTTCTTTTTTTTCACTTTTTGACATCTCAGAAATTTCAATGATCGAACAGTCACAGAGGAAAGATCTGTACGCGTTACGTCGAGGGTCTCGAAGAAGAAACCACTGATTTGATTACAATCGTCGTTCTAGGGCTGCCGAAGTTATCCGCAACTCTCTTCTTGATTATGTTTGCTCAATTATCGATAGAATTGCGTGGAAAGCCTCGTACGAACGACCCCAGGCTCGAAAAGCAGGCCTCGTCGCTCGTGGCTCGTGCGTGTTCAAAATATAATATGCGAACGTGTGTATATACGGTTAAACAATAGCAATAATAACGATAATAACTCGTAGAAACATTAGAAATACGCATGATCGATGTCGCCTCTATCGTCGTATCGATCATCAATAAATACCGTTTCGTTTATTGACACGGCGCGTGACAACGATCCAACTGTGATTCGTCATACTTACGCACCGTGAATCAGGATATTTCATTCTCGCCGCTATTAGAATAATTATGTTACAATAGGTACACGTAATAAATTGCATAAACAATACACAGACGGCTACGTATAATAATAAATATACGCTTGGCGAAACTGCAGCACAGGCGTGCAACCCCGCGTGTTTCGATAAAGTATAAATTTTGACGCTCGTTCGGTGACCTTGAAACCGCAACAAGTCCGTTGAGATGAATCTCTATCGAAACGGAGTTTCGATATCTCGCGTTCTCGTTTGCTGTGACAACTCTGCTTGGCCAACGCTGTTTAGAATTCTTTTCGAACTGTTGTTTCAAGGTGCACGTATCTCTATCTTCGTTTCGGTAGATGCGTTATGTCAAACGAAAATCCATACGCTCGTTTTACAGTTTTCCTTTATATATATATATAGATATATACGAGAGAGAGAAATGGAAATCTGCACGATCATCTGTCGGGCGGATATTCGCAGCCCTAGCCCTTCTCTCCCTTTCGTTTAAAGCATCGATCGTTGCGAATCGAGTCTCAAAGCGTTTCTCGAGGAAGCAACCACCATTGAACGCTTATTATTTCGGTAGGTTCGGGGTTTGGCTGGGTATTTTAGGGTGTGATAGCATTTTACGACGTTCAACGATAATGACACCTATAAAGTTAACTCCATTCTCGTTGCGCGTGCATCGTTCGTCAATCTCCGTTCCTCAGTCTCCGATCGCCGATCCTTTCTGTCGATTTCAAGGTGGAAACACAGTTTCGTCGACGGCGCGAACGAACGGTGCACGATTCAAGGCTAGAAATTATCGGGTGTTTGATCTTTTCTCTTTGGCGTGAACTATTTACGTACGTACGACGAAAAGGAAGAACCTGCAAGTAACCGAGAAATCGATATCGAGCGATCGCGAGCGACCGCAGCTCGTGGAGATTCATTCCACACCGTTTCTGTTGCATTTTCAGTTGCAAATAATAGCACGAAAAGGACGAAATGAAAGAATCGCGAATATATAACGCGATATATATGTATGTATATATACGTATGTATATATCGAGAAATGACCGAGTTCGTGCACTCAATCCAAATGGTTCGCGACGCCATCGTCTCTCGTGCGCCGCGGTTTTTCACGATGGTGCGCGAGTTTCTTCATTCCAGCGACCATAAGCAGCTCTTCGTTCTCCTAAACGGTTACGCTAAATTGGACGATGCTTGCCTCTGTTCGTTCTCGCTGGAGGAAAAGAAACCGCATTCACACGCAACTTACTGTTCTCATCAAAAATACACGTTTGATATGCTAACCGTATCTTTTTCTTTTTCTTTTTTTTTTCTTTTTCTTTTTTTCTTCTTCCTCCTCGCGATTAATAAACCAGGCTTTACTCTCCCGTGTGTGTATTTCTTTCTTTCTTTCGCGCTCTTTCGTTCTCTCTCTCTCTCTCTCTCTCTCTCTCTCCCACACACTCACACACACACACACACACACACATTCCGTCGACTCTATAAAATCAATTTCGCATAGCCATAGATCTTATCTACCGTGTGGGAAATGATAATAGAGAATTTCTTGTTTTTTTCTCTCTTTCTCTCCTTTCTTCTCTCTCCTCGTTCGCAATGTTGACGAGTGTCAATACACAGCTTTCTATTTGCCAACCGAATCGAAAAAAAAAAAGAAAAAAAAAAGAAAACGTCTCAATCGTATCGGTGTGTACATCGTGACTACGTCAGCGTCGGATCCAGGCTGATTTTTTTTTTTTTTTTTTATCAGTGCTCGATGTGAAAACAGCCCGCGGAGTCAAGAACGATTTCCCCCGGCGTGATTTAAAGCGTTTCGCGGTGTTCGGCGTTCGTTCTTTCCCCCTAATTAATCCTAGGGTGAAAACGTAACGTAGGCTGCCCCGTCTTCACGCCAATTCGAGGTTAAAACACGAATATTTACAATCGTCCTAACCGGTAATTAAGCGTTGACGACGATCAACATGCCCGGCTTAGAAAGCTAATCGACTTCATTTTTACGAGGCCGAGCTACGGGAGATTCACGGGAATCAATTTATTTACAATGGTACTTGTAGATCGGAGATTGCACAGCTGTTTTTCTTCGAGGTGTACGTGACGTGTATCTCGATAATCGAATTGTTCATTTTACCGTGAGGGAGGGAAAGCTCCGGTCGCGAGCTAATCGAAAATCAAATGGATTCCGTTTTGTACATTGGGTAGACTTTCGCCCTCGCGAAATCTTGCCCTTTCGACACACAGTTCGTTCTTCTGTTTCTCGTCTACCGTCTCTCTATGAATATACGAATATTTTCAAACGTTTTTCTTTTTTTTTTTTCACAGGAGCAATCATATTATACCGATTCGAGTTAATCTCGGATTCAGCGCGGCGCAATTTAAAGAGTAAAATCCAGACGGAGGGTCCCCTTCGGGGAATTAAAAAGGAACGCGATTAATTAACTAATTCTCCGAGAGGGGAGGAGCGGACGTTTCTCTCTCTCTCTCTCTCTCTCTCTCGTTGCTGTGCGATCTACGCCAGGTGGCAGGGAAGGGGAGGATCTCCGGAAGACTACATGTAATTTTCATAAAACGCTACCACAAACGGACGGCCTGGTTTTCACCTATTTCTCAACGACGCTAGAAAAAGAATCCATTAACGCAACGCGAACCCTACTCAGGATTCCTACGTGGCGTCTGCTTAAAAAAAAAAAAAAAAAAAAAAAAATGAAATAAAATCTTCGCTCGTCTCTGCGGGGAGGTGGGACAGCAAGCTGGACAAATCTTCCGGTTGCACGTTTCATGGCGACGTGCCGCGTACGGCCATCGTCCCTGCGATGGAGATCGATGAGAAAGTTAGTATCGTATCACAGACGAGAGGAGACTAGATACCGCGACTAGAAGAAATTCTCCCGAGTGTTCGAAGTCGTCAAGTGTAATTTCCATCGGTCAGAATTCTCTCGTACGTCTGCGACAATAGAGAGAGAGAGAGAGAGAGAGAGAGAAAGAGAGATTTTTGAGGATAAAGAAAAAGAAAAATAGAGCAAACGAACATGAAGAAATCGACGCTCTCGTTCGCGCGAGTGCGAGCTCGCGAAAAACGATTTGTCTTGGGGACTAGATTCTATGGAAGAGGGATTCTACAAGGAGGTGAGAAAAGAAGAAGAAGAAGAAGAAGAAGAAGAAGAAGAAGGAGGAAAAAAAGGAGAGGATTAATCGACGAGATGGACGTAAATGGAGGCGAAACGCTTTAAATCTTTCGCGTTCGTCGAATCCTCGGGGCGATTCGAAATCCATCGATACTAAATTCGCCAAAATAGGTCCCAGATCTGGCATGAGACGACCCTGAATTATTTGTTAGGCATTTAAGCTATATACAGAGGGGGGGGGGGAGTGTTATCCTTAAAGGAGATCGATATGTCTCATTGGTGGCGTTGGTGCAGGAATCCCTGAACAGGGTGAACCGTGTGTTGCAATGACTAATACTTTTTCCGACTTATTCCTTCGCGGACAAGGATCCATTAGTCAACGCCATGACTGGGCCAGAACTTCCCCTCGAGTTCGTGTCAGAGTTGAGCTCCAAGGACGAGTCCTGCAACGTACAAGGCAAGGGTATCTGTAATAATTAAGGATACGCGGCGTCGCTGTGTGTGTGTGTGTGTATTATGAAAGTGATTGAAAACTGCTCTTTCATAGCGTGCTTTACAAAAACAAAAAGCAAAAAAAAAAAACAAGAAAAAAGAAACACGAAATCCGACGAAACGAATTATTCGAACAAAAGAACGAGCTAAACCAGCTGGAATCTACGGAAAAAAAATATTTGGGGAAAGACGACGAGGATAAAAGAGATACATCGAAATATTCGAAACGTCGAGAGGAAGGATTTACTTGGATTGGGTTTCGCGTTAATCGCGAGAGGAGGGAGGAGTGCATTTCAGTGGCGCGTAAAGTCGGTCGAGGGGATGGCAGATGAATTTTTTCCAAGCGTGTGTGTTACGACGTTCTCACTCGGTAAGTGCATCGTGGAAATCCTCGAAGCTATAACGCGTTTACGTGCGGTGATTACGCGCGGATACGACAGTTTCGCGAGACCATTTGCCAATGATTGTCTCGCTCGGTGAAACGCGAAAACCGAAATGGCACAACGAGCCACTGGGAGCAGAACGCGGTCTTTATATCGCGAAAGCGTTTCTCTCGCGCTGCCACCTCTGTCTGACGATATCGCGACGCGATACTGTCATCCCGCGTGTAGATTCAGATCCATCACCGTAAACGAGACACTGGGTGGCGGCAGGCGAGGAGAAAATTTATTTTGTTTCGCGAGTCGAGCAGCAGGAGCGAGTTACTCTATTACCTCCCTCGATTCGTGATTTTAAAGCCTGTCAGCTCGGCCGAACCTCGAAGGGAAAATCGAATTATTATTACGGAACGTTGAGTAACGCAACCGACAAAACGGCAAAAATTGATACGTTTATACCCGATTTAATTACGCGCGGTGTGTATACCCGGGGCACTTTATATACGCGTATATAATTAATAAATATGGCCGAATGAAATAAAGGAATTTAATTCGAATTTAATTTGCCCGCTCGCGTGCGCCCCGGTATTACGTTTACGCAAAATGTCCACGATAAATTCATCACGAGAGAGTCAAAGCAGTCCGTTTCCCTTGGATTCTATAGTAGTAACAACGTGTTATTCCGATTTCAAAGCCAAGTGAATTTTTCTCAATGCTTCCCTCCGCGCGAACACAAACGCGAAGAGGAAACGCGCGCAAAATTGAACAGGAAACAGATAAACAGAGGGTAAGGCGAACGCTACTTACAATGCTGAGGGTGTGCATGATGCAAGTTTGCGTGGTGTTTTCAACGTGAATCAGCTCGTCGCATTCCTCGTGGTCCAGTCCATTTACATCAGATCGTATCTTAATCGGTGACAGAGCCGCTTCATTGTCCGTTGACTTGCCGCTGTCCGGTGATGGCAGCAATTCGTGCCCATCCAGATCCTCTTCTTCTGCGCGCTCCTCGCAGCAATCCGACGCCTTCGTCTCCTGTCGCGCAACAAAACCAAAAGCAATGAAGATCATTGCAAGAAAAAGCAAAAACCAATTGTCAAAAAAGTGTTGGTGGCGATCGAGTGGCGATGCGCGTATTAAAGCAAAGGGTACGTGTCGTATTTAAAAATATCCCGAAGAATTGGAAATGTGCGATCAATTGAGCACTTTAGCGCACGACCTGTCTCGTTTTTCTTTTCTACGGTAGGCGATAGTGAAACGACCAGCGGCACCGATAGCACTAGCCTGACGCCAGTGTTGTACTAATGAGGGGAACTTACTTTAACCGGTTGGCTGACCAAAGCAGATCTATTCTACTTTCTAGAATCTTTTTTTATTTCATCGTCTCTTATCTCCTCTACCTAGCCACATACTCGTTGTTATGCCCGCGTGCACACGTTATTAATGGCGTGTCGCTGTTCGCTGGAAAATTATTTACCATTCATTATGTACAATTTCTCATCATTTAATAATTATTTTTATACAACGAGCGAACGAACATATATAAAAATCGTTAGCACGGGAACTGGGACGCTTTGATTCAGAAGTTTCTTTGAAGTTTCTATGATCGCGGAGAAACTGATCTTAATTAACGACGGATGAACGATTAAACGGAAAAAATTACGTTACATCACGGGAATGTCGAACAACGATTGGCCCCGTAGAATCTCCTCTAATAAACGTTTCTGGTGCGCGTCGATGCTCTAATTGCTTCAAGCGTACCTCAATTGCCGCTATATTAATAATTATTCGCAATTACTCGCATACATTCGGGTAGTAATTATTCTCAGATATTTCGACAATTCTGTAAGAGGTATCCTTTAATCCGAAATATACATTAGGGGTACCTATAAGTTTACTGTACGAAATTTTATTTCATTTACATGCTAATATAGTTTTAATCTGCAATTTTCTAAATCTAAAAATTTTATTTCATTTATATGCTAATACAGTTTCACAATCTATAATATAATTTTCTATATATAGTTTAATTTTTCTATATAGGTTTAATCCACGATATAATTTTCTAAATCTAAAAATTTTATTTCATTTATATGCTAATACAGTTTTAATCTATAATATAACTTAACAATAAGCACACTAAATGTAAATTTATTAAACTGGAATATTATAGTTATGTTATAGTAAATTTATTTAACTAGAATATTATGGTTACGTCAAGATAATATTATTGTCGCTAAATGGCAATGTTTGTTAAACTTGAAAAGAAAAAAGAACGATACTGGGTACCCCCAATATATATATTACGCTCTACAAAAAACGAAACAAAAGAAAAAGAAGGAAGAAAGAGAAAGAGAAAACGAAAGTTCAAGCAACAACGAGGGAACAAATTTCTTTCTTTAACCGAGAGAGCGGAAAATCACACGCTCGATACAATTAATGGGAGTCTTGCGATGGCAAGAGCGAAAATAATAAGGAGGCTCTCGAGCGCTGAAATCGGAAACAAAAGTTCCGATTGCTTGATCCGTATACTTGGGTCGGTGCACTGGAGTTGACATATCGACAGAGAAACATATGATGAAGTAATATTTTCCCAAGTTGTATGTCGTTTCCTACGGCGACAGGGTTTCGTTCTTTTGTCGCTGTAGTTTCATTCCACCTTCGTTCGTAGCCGTCCTTGTTTTAAGCGTCGAGCGCTTGCCCCGGCGATATTACGATTTACCGCGTTCCCTTCTTTCGCGATATAAAACTTATATTGTTTAAATTGACTGTCACTGTTATTACTGTCCCTCCCCCCCCCCTCCTTCCCCCACCGAGCGTTCGATATATTTGAACTTTCTGGCTTTACATAACTCGCGACCATCTCGCGAGCTTTTCCTCTTTTTTCTTTTTCTTTTTTTTTTTTTTTTTCTTCTCAAACGCGAGTCGACGAAATTTTAACATCGTTTTCGAAAATTTTATTTCTATTTCGAAAGATTGCTCGCCCGCGCGCCGAAATCCGCGCGTTCGAACCCAATCCATTATTCCTACCATCATTTTTCTCCGCGTCCAGTCGATTGAGCAACACTAAATGAATTCCTTTCGAGAAAGCGGGAAACTCCTTTCAATTGTTCTTTCCAATATCGTGTTTACCTCGCTGCGAGACTACCACCATAAATCTTTCGCGATTTTTAACTTTGGGGATTAAAACGAACGGAAAAATAAAGAAAAAGAGAGAGAGAGAGAGAGAGAAAGGGAAGAGGAGAAAAGAAAGAGACTAGAAACTAACGTGGAATTCCCGCAATTTCGGGAACAAAGAGTAAAAATTCGGCCGGCAGGATGGACGTCCGCGATTATGACAGTAACTAGGTCAGAAATATTTCCAGAATTAAAGCTGAACGCGAACAGCCGACGTCGTATTTTCTTTTCAGAGGCCAACCCTTCCAACAGCCAAGCCTGTTCATTCTGATAAGATTGCGCAGTCATCGTTCGCAACGAAAAATAAACGAAACGAAAAATCCATCCACGACGAAGATTACTTTTCCTTTGGGGAATTTAATTTCCGCGTTACATGTAAAGTAATATATCAGTAGCTGATATATATACTATATATATTGTAGTTGTGCTAGTTGATTTAGTCTCTCAAGTGACGCGTTTCTCTCTGTCTCGTTTTGTTTCGTTTTTGTTCCGTTGATAAAGAGGAAAAATTCTCAGACGATGATGAAACAATATCTTTAGAAAACTCACTTGGAAATCTTGCGGTGACGGCGATGATTCCTTCTGATGCTGGCTTGGACTTTGCGGAGGGCTGGGAGCGGATCTGGGACTCTGGGGTCGAGTTCCCAACTCGTAAATGTTGATCATGTGAGCTGCCTGAGCGTGAACCATCAATTCCCATGCTGAAGGGAATGATACCTTGCAGAGAACGCAGAGCAGAGCCGTTGTAGAGTCTCCTTGAAACATAAACACGAATCCATTGTACGCATATAAATGGTAATAACACAAATATATATATATATATATATATTCGTCAACACATATATTCGTCAGAGGCACGTTACTTACTAACAATCTCCGATTACGTGCGTGTCATCCGAAGAAACGGATTAAATTTATATTTTTCACAACTTTGACAAGTTTCTGGACAAAGGTACAAATCGATCTGTCGGCTCGAGTCGTAAGAAAATTTTCGTTACAAAGATTTAAAGAAGGAATGTGAACATTCCTCCAGGCCAGGGCTTCCCAAACTTTCATCCTTTACCCGAGCAAATATTTCCGCGACCCCCAAAATTTAGTTTAGAAATTTACTTTAGGGTATACAGAGGTATATAAACTAGGAGTACGAGTTGAAACGTTTGCCGATGATAAATCACAAATAGAAGGAAATTTATTTGAAAACGATTTTTTGGAGTATGTATATATACGTGTATAATTTTACCACGTATTATTGAAGGGCAAAACGCAAACGTTGGTACTAATATTTTTTTAGTTTTGCTAAAGTTTAGACACTTTGAGAAGCTCTGCTCTAGGCAAATTTGTCGGACGAGAACAACAACAAGCGGATCCACCGAGGTTTCTTCCGGTTCCGACCTCCTCGATCTTAAAGGGATATTCTGGTAATCCGGCTTAAAAAAATCAATATTTTCTTTTTTTACATTTTCTCAAAGTATATACGCTTTCGGAAATGTCTATACAAAAGGATTTGTTTGAATTCATAAAATTAGCAAAGTTATAAATTAAAGGAAACGGCGTACTGTTCGCAACGTATGTAAGTATGAATATTTTTGTACAACGTATAACAAACACTTCAAATGTGTTTTTCTAAAAAAATATTTTACTTTATAATATTATTATTTATTTTTATATTGTTATTGTTTTGTAATATTTTATTTTTTTGTACTGCTCGATTGATTGTAAGTATGAATATTTTTGTACAAGAACTTCAAATGTGTTTTTCTTAAATCCATATTTTTTAAAATTGGCTATTGACGGGATATTTCACGTTTTAGTTGACTGATTGACTTGAAATTTGAAAGACTTTTATCGCATGAACTACAGATTTCAAAATCTGATGTTTTTATTAATTTTATTTTTCTTTCTTTACAACCCAAAGAACGAAAAGCACAAGGAAAATCGATATTTAAACTTCAAAATGCTGCCATAGTTTTAATTTCCGAAATTTCGCTGTTTCCGTGCGAAAGCCATATCTATACTAATTAAGATGCATCCTGGTTTTTTAGTTTCAAATAACTAGGTGAACCAGAATCACGTCAGCCATTTGAACCCGTTTTTTAAAAACATGCTCAACTTCCACAACTTTCATTAATTTTGTTAAAAAAAAAAAATTGTAAATGCTCTCTAAGTGTGAATAATTCTGTGTGCGAAAACTGCGTACCATGGTTTCTTTGAAAAAAAAAAATCCCAAAAACGTCGATTTTTTTCCAGGCCGGATTACCAAAATACCCCCTTAAACAAATCACGGGGGAGGGTTGGCCTTTGCACCGGCGCAGCTGCGTTCCTCCTCGATAAAATGTCAAAAATACAATCCTCGCCGGCGTGAGGGGGAAAGGTGGAGAGATGGAAAGAGGAGCAGGTTCGAATTTCATTTTTACACCTGTCCCGTTATCGAGCCGCGATAAGGATAACATAGAGAGGCGGGGAGAGGAGGGAAGGAGGCGACAGGTATTTCGAAACCGGCTGCGCCCTCGAATTTCGATGAAAGCCGGATCTTTATTGAAGAATTTCTTAAAGGCGGGGAGAAACGGTGGTCGGTGGAATTTCGCGCAATCTCCTTTGCTAAAGCGCCACTCGATCGCGCTCTAACAGACGCGGCGGCGTTCTCGCAGAAAGGGGGAAGCGGAAGGTTTCGCTCGGGCAACTTTTCTTTTCGAGTACCTACTTGGGGCTGTTCCATTGAAAGTGTGACATTTACATGTGAACCGCAGTTTGCAGTAATTTCGCTTGTGCTCGAGCAACTCGCCCAGGTCTGTAAACATCTCTCTGCAGTTGCCACAGATCAGGATGTCCGGATTGCCTGCAACACATGGAAATTACGAAAATTACGAAAATTTTCCCCCCCGATTTCCTTTTCGTTTTCATCGCATATTTCTCCACGATTATCTCTTTGGAATAATCTCAGTATCGTTGGCAATCGATTTCAAGTCGGTATTAATCCGGTCTGTGTTTAACGGAAATATTAAAATAAATATCTGCGCCGTACGCGTCTCATTAAGGAGAGATAATGGAACGCAATTTCTTTCCTCCTTTGTTATTCGTTAGCGAAATTGTAGGTAGCTGATGCGATTACCGGGGTAAAAGGCGAAACTCGTAAGGCACGTTTGAAGCTGGGAATTAAGTTTGGAACGCAATTATACGAAAGGAAGCCTTGTTACTCGAAATAATGAAACTCGAACGGAATGGCAAAATTTCTTTTTCCCCCCCCCCCCCTCCCCGAGCATCGCGTCGTGCGTGGTCCAATAACCGGAAGTTTCGACTGGCGCTATCTGTTGGAAGCAACTTTTCACGTCGGAAGCGGAGATGGCAGCGATTAATAAACGAAATTTTCATTCTCCACTTACGGGGATAAATAGCCCGCCGCGGGTTAAAGCTAACCGCGGGTAATTACTCAACTGCGGAAACTTCTTTCTTTCTGTTTTTTTTTTTTTTTTTCTCTGTTCCTCGGACACCGTCGATCGATAATTCGAAATTGAAAGCATAAATGGAAATTTGCTCTCTCTCTCTCTCTCGCTTGCTCGCTCGCGCTCGCGATGAATAATAACGTTCTCTGTTAACCACAACTCTTCCACGTTATTCTTTATTCATCGTGTTTAAAGACCGTCTTCGCGCGCGTAATTAAAGCACGTCCCGCGCGGCGAAACAAGTGTCGACGACACGCTCCCCTGCCGCTCTTCGCGCGCTAAGCTTTTTCCCCGGTACTTACCGGGAGAAACTCGTGATTAACCTACGTGTACGAGCAAACAAACTATACTTTCGCGAGACCTCCAACGACTGCCGGATATACTCGAAGCATAACACGCACTCAGAGACACACTTCAATCCGTTTCCAGCCAATCGAGTCACGTCCCTCGCGTCTTCCCTTTTTCACACCCCCGTCACCCAAGCGGTGAGTTTTCAATTTTCCACTGGACACGTTGCGTTCGGACGTACATACATACATACGCACGTGTATATATGTGTGTGTGTAACTTTGATACTTACTGTAGACTTTCAGCTGATTCAAATCCGGAACGGTGGCCACGTTCGCAGCCGGTTGCTGTTTCTGCTGCTTCGGGTGTTGCGATCGAGCCGGTGGCATCAGACGTGGTCTCTTCAACGGCGGCGCCAAACGGGGTGGGAAAGCAGTCGACGCGTAGTAACTGAAAATAAACTTGGATACTGAGTATATACTCGTGCCAGACGTTGGTCCCCCGTGGGGGACGGTGAATAGTAATTTGCAGTGTTTCGGGGGCGAAAAAGGGGCGAGTGTTTAACAAGAAAATGTTGGGCACAAACAACTGATTTGAAAACGAATTTCACAGCTTTCATGTTCTTTTGAAAATACTTTGCGTTTTGCTAAAAATTCAAGGTTCACGACACGCCTTTGTGAATGAAATAAAAAAATTTTGAACCTCGGGGAGGAAATTCGAGGGAAAACGGGGGAAGAAACGTACGGATACCGTAGGTACGAGGTATTAGAGAGTGAAAATTGAAGGAGAGGAAAAGGTCAGAGATTTGACAACTTCCGTGCCAGCGGTTCGGCGCGCGCAAAAATTTCGCAAAGGAAGAAACTTCGGAGTGAGTTGAGAGAGGTGAGATATTAAACATCGAAATACGAGGAACTTGTATATCTTGGAGCGTGAATTCAATACATGTTCGAACAATTGAAATATAAATTCGGAACGAAAGGAGTTTGAAATGGATTTTCTTCCTTTCTCTTTCTTTTTTTTTTTTCTGAAAGCAATTTCTCCTGGCCCCGATATCAAACGGACGAGAGGAGGGGCAGGGGCAGAAATACTCCGTTACGACGGGTTTATAGCTCGCCTAAATCGTGCGTTCGTTCATTTTTACGAGGGGGCACTGTGCACGAAAGGGGTTGCGAAGAACGGGTTTCCCGAAGAGCGTACAAATTGTACATTTAATCAACTCATTTAGACGCAACAGCACGGCGGAACGTGTTTGCACGCAAGCTGCTCGGCTCTCTCTCTCTCTCGAATGCCGTTGTCGTTTCGATTAAAAGGCTCGGAGCGAACGGCTGATGCCGAATTCCTAATAAAACGAACGGACAAACTCGTCTTCCAGACGCTAATTCGTCGAAATTCCGTCTCGACTTGGCTCGCAGTCCTCGTGCAAGCTACGTACGTACACACGTACAATCATCGACAGCATCGATAACGATTCAAAAGACGTCCGTCTGCACGTCCGCCTAACTGAATTTAATCGGATGTGTTTAGACTTTTGATAAAATCGATGCCGACATTGTCGCCGCGCGACAACCCATTCCGGAGAAACGGAGAACAGAGACTCCTCTACGAGGAGTTTTCGTCGCCTCGAATCAAGTAGAGCGAGAGAGAGAGAGAGAGAGAGGTGAAGGAGGGGAGAGAGAAACAAGCAGAGTGGAAACAAGAGGAGCAGAAAAGAGGAATCGCAACCCCTCGCCATCGTATTTATCCGGCTATGTATTTCCTCCGTCTGTCCTGGCTGCTTTCGCCCCGCGAAGCCTTCGTTGAAATAAAACTTCCTCCTCGCGCCTTTTCTACCATTTTCTCACCTTGTCTACTCCCTTCTCTCTTTCTCTCTCTCTCTCTCTCTCACACTTTCTTCCCTCTGGATCTTGTCTACTTTTTCCCGGTTTCACGTTCCTTTTTCTCTCCCCTTCTGCCAGTCCGTTTTTCCTTTTTTCGTTTCTCAGAGGACAGTCGCGAGGTTGCTCCTTCTTTTCTGTTTAACGCGTCTTCGTTCCATCTGCTTGTTTACGCCTCGCCGTTTTATTCCGTTTTATCGTCTCGTACCAAGATGGAATTTGTTTTTTGAAGAGCCAGAGGATCCTTTGATAACGCTTAGTTACGACTAAATAAGAGGAGGTAATTTAATTGGTGAAAACCGCCTCCCCTCCCCCATTGTTGCGCATTTCTAGAGCATCCTTCTTTCCTTCCTGCCGTTTCGGTTTTTCAGATGCTGATTAAAAAACTTTTCGCTTAACTAATGACGTTATTATTAACTCCGGCATTCTTTTGTTCACCCTTCCGCTTTTGTCATTGTTCTTTGTTCGCTGCCAAGTTGCTCGTTAGTGTGTATATAGTTCTCTCCTTCCCTTTCCCACCGCAGCGACTTCTCTTTTCGTTTATTCAACTTCGCGCACAAAAGTTCACAGATTTTACAACGATTCCGTTCTACCCGTTGGAAAACTTCCATTTTTCTGTCCTCTTGCGTACTTTGTTCGCGCGTTCCTTAATCTTTTAATTGACAAAGCAATACCGTGAAAACACGATAGACGTTTCTTCGGGCTAGTTAATTCACAATTTCCACGAAGAAGAGATTCCAAAGAAAACCGCAAAATCTGAATAGATGGTTCCTTTAAATTTCATACCAAGACTACCATCCATTTACTCGGTCCCCCTTATTACTCAAACTGTCCGCCATATTAAACCAACCGCCCCCCCCCTCCCCCCTCTGATTTCTCTCTGCTCCCATTTCCATACGTTTTACCAGTCATTATTTCAGCCGTTTCTCTCCGGCTGAACGTCATATCGTTCCCTGACACACGTTTCTTTCTCCGTCAAAATCTTCCCTAGTCCCGTGCCCGGTTCCCTTTTCCCTCCTCCCATCGCCGTCGTCGTGTCCCATCCCCCCTAGCAATGGCATGACACAAGAGACATCCACGAATTCGTGCCTTCGTGGCGTTGTTAAAAGTTCTCCACGCCAACAGAGTTTCACTCTGTTTCACTTTGAAACTTTTGGATAATAAGCGCGAAACTGGTGCGAACGAGAGAGAGAGAGAGAGAGAGAGAGAGAGAGAGAGAGAAAGAGAGAAACCCCTCGTAGAAGAGAAAAGGGCTGTGCTAAGGGCAGGCGTGCAATCGGGGGAAGGGAGTATCATCTACACCGGCACTTCCTGTCGTCTCGACTATTTTAATTTCTTTTTTTTCTCTCTCTCTCTCTCTCTCTCTCTCTCAAGCCACCGTCCAATTATTGGCGACCGCGAAAGTCGTCCTTTTGTGTCGAGCCGCGGCCACCTTTTGAAGTGCCTCTTTATTTATTTTTTTTTTTTTCTTCTTTCCCCCTTTCTTCTTCTTCTTCTTCTTCCTAATGTCTGCTACGACTGATAAGAAGGGGTGGGGGAGGACGGAAACACAACAGGGCGGCTGCTGTCTCGTTGCTCGTCCTCGTCCTCGTCGTAGTAACGATCGTCCTTTAGTTTCGGAAGTTCGATGATTACGACGTCTTCTCTGAATCCTTCGGCTGCGGTAATATAACCGGAGACAAACACAACCCGTGACGGAACTTTGCTCGCTGGCTTCCACTTCCGCCCCGCGTAGAGAGGATGTTGCACGCGCGTGACTTAACGCGGAGACTCTCATCGCTAACGAGTCGAATTTTTGCCGGATTATTTATTCTGGACGAGGACCATTTCGAAATCATTTTGTTCGTTTACCGAGAGGAAAGGAACGTCGAGATGTTATTTCGAACGTATCGCGGTTAGAATAAATTTGTATACTTCTCTCGCTTTTATTATATTGATTCATATTCTACGAGATGTAAGTATATCTCAAAAGAGTTATCTCTCCCCTTGAATCACATTTATCAGAGGGTTTGCCGAGGAAGAAGTAAGAATCAACCCCCGGCGAGTTATACGTTTCTCGATTAAATTTTCAGCGAATTCGCCGCAAATCGTGTATCTTTCGTCGAGTCACGTTTAATTCAACAGAGAACGAACGATTCAATTTAAATTTTACCCGAGCTCGTCGTCCTCTTAGAGGGATCAGGAATCCTTTTCCATGGCGGATGAAAGAGAGAGAGAGAGAGAGAGAGAGAGAGAGAGAGAGAGAAGGGAAAAAAAGAAGATCGAAGCTTCGGGATAAACCTCTATTCGTTTAAATATAAGCCTGGCACGAGACAGTCGTGGGACAAGGGACGACGGAATAAATCGACAGATTTTCATCAAGAAGTAACCCTGAGACAGCAGAGCCCCCTCGTGCGGCCAAGGAGATTCGACCAACGAGGTCTGTGATTGGCACCGCTGACAATTATTTGTTTTCCACAAATCACCGGGCAAACCGGTCCTTCTTTTCCCCTCCTTCTCTTTCCCTTGTCCCTCGGACTTTTAGACAAGCATTCAACCTGTCCCTGACATTTCTCACGACATCGTCGAGAAATCGTTCTCCAAATCGTTCTCCACGAATTAAATTTCACGCACGAAGCACTTCGACAGCGTTATGCAATATAACATATTGGAAGCCTGTCTCCAGGGATAAAGATGTAGATTAACGATCGCAAGCGTGTGTGTGAAAATCGTTCGCCCTGTAAATAATAATCGTTCTTCGTTGATTTCTACGTGGACGAGAATTTTGTTCTTCTCTCCTTCCTTTTTTTTTTTTTTTTTTTTTATTAGATATTAATTGCAATTTCTTCGTTTTATAATTATTATCGAATTGCACTCAAGTTCTTCGTTCAACGATAGTCATCTCGTTTTAATTGCTTCAACGACGGTCATTAGTAGTCATTAGTAGTCATTAGTAGTTTAAAATCGAATAACTAAAATAACATTGAGAGAAGATGACAAATGAAGGGAAGAAATTCGTGGACGATTATTTCCTCTCGACGAATCACATGGAAGGTTACAAAGCCGTGTAAGCAAGGGGTTTCCGGGCCCCTCCTATTTTTCCCTAGCACATATACTTTGAGGATCAGCAGGAGCCTGGCTGCGACATTTCGAGTTATATCGCCGGCAACAATGAGTCATTGTCAGAATTTCTGAAACAGAACGCGAGCCACCCCTTTATTACGAGCAATTTGAGCAAGTTTCGCCGCCAGGTAGCAAAGATTAAAAAAGGTTTACTAAAGGATGTATCATATAATGGACACTTGAGATGTTCCGCTTTAGGTATTATCATCAAGCTTCCGAAATATCGCGAGAAAGTTTTTGCATTTAATTTCGATTAACTTTAAACCGATCATCGTTTTGCGCTGATATTTTCTTTCTTTTTCTTCTCTTGTTTTTTTGTTTTTTTTTTTTTTTGTTTTTTGTTTTAACATAATTACTCTCGCGCGAGGGGATTAAACGATTTATAAATCGAGTTATTAAATTATCATTTATAAGAGATATAATGGAAATTTAATTATCTCCGCGTATAAATTTACTTTTACGCTTATCCTTAAA